GAATAGAATAGAATAGAATAGAATAGAATAGAATAGAATAGAATAGAATAGAATAGAATAGAATAGAATAGAATAGAATAGAATGGAATTACAGGATGGAATAGAATAGAATAGAATAGAATGGAATGAATGGAATGGAATGGAATATAACGGAACGGAACCGAATAGAATAGAATTACAGGATGGAATAGCATAGCATAGCATAGCATAGCATAGCATAGCATAGCATAGCATAGCATAGCATAGCATAGCATAGCATAGCATAGCATAGCATAGAATAAAATAGAATAGAATAGAATAGAATAGAATAGAATAGAATAGAATAGAATAGAGCTGGAAGGGACCTTGGAGATCTTCTAGTCCAACCCCCTGCTCAAGCAGGAGAACCTATACCATTTCAGACAAGTGGCTGTCCAGTCTCTTCTTAAAAACCTCTTTTTAACGTGGTATTTATGCTGTTTCTTCCTATGTTTTCCCACGGGGGTAGCTTTTGAGGCAGGGACAAATATCTAGAATGGGAGACTTTTGCCCATCCAGAGGGAAAAAACAGAAGTCAGCTGAATCCATTCCAGCTACAATCTGTTGCTTCCTCCTCAAATCCCTCCTTTATCTCACGTTCAGCTGTTGAAATCTCCCTTTCCAGAAAGTGTTATCAGCAGTTGTGCAATTGTGTTGAGCAGGAAGCTTGGAAATCTGCAGCTCAAAAGATCTACTGAGATCGTTGGCTCAGCCTGGAAAACAGGAGGTTTTATTTTCAGCCATCTGGGAAGGAATCCCGCAAAGAAAAGACAAAGGAGAAAAGTTTTCAGCTTTAAAAAGAGCCGGTTTCTGTTCAAAATTCAGAACCCAAGTGCAGTTTTTTTTTTCATGCCTGAAGGATACGAGACGACGCTCATTTAATCAACGGAGGGAAAACCCATCAAGGAGAGAAGCAACCTAGAACTAAGGAGAAACATCCTGATAGTGAGAACAATTAACCAGTGGAACTGCTTGCTACCAGAAGTTGCGGGTGTGCTCCATCACTGGAGGCTTTTAAGAAGAGACTGGACAGTTATTGGTCTGAAATGGGATAGGGTCTCCTGCCAGAGCAGGGGGCTGGACTAGAACAGGGCTCCTCAACCGTGGAGGACTACCTGTAATATGCAAATAAAATTGCTGATGCTTCAGGTGAGCAACAGAAATCTCTAGGCCGGGGTCCCCAACCTACGGGCCGTAGTCTAGGACCGGGCCACAGGCTCTTGGCCAGCAGTCCGTGGAAATGGCTGGCCGGTGTGTGCACGCGTGGGTGCGCATTCCCAGGTTGCGGTCACTAGTGCCAGTGGTCCTGTTGGAGCATGCGCGTGGGTGAGAACGGGGCCGCTAGCCCCGGGCAGCTGTGCGCGGCCCATTTGTGCATGCCTGAATGGGCCACTAGTGTCGGGCAAGTTGCGTGGTCATTTGTGCATGCGTGAATGGGCCACTAGCCGCCACGGGGGAGGGTGTGCGTGGCTGTTCGTGCATGCACACGGCACCAGAGAGTGCCGCATGCATGAATGGGGCCGCTAGTGCCGTGCCCGTGCGCATGGCCACGTTTGCGAGGACGCGCACATGCACATCAATTTGGAAGCTGCTCTCCTTCCCTCCGGTCCATGAGCTCACAAAGTTTGGAAACCTCTGCTCTAGGGTACAGATAGTCCTCAATTTACAACCATTCATTTAGCGGCCGAAGTTACGACGAAACTGAAAAAGGTGAAATATGACCGTTTTTCACACTGACGACCAGTGTTGCAGCATCCAGGATCCAAAATTCGGAGGCTTGGCAACTGACTCGTATTTATGACGGTTCCAGCATCTCGAGGTCACATGATCGCCATCGCTAACCTTCCCACAAGCCGGCTTCCGTCAAGCCAAGTCAATGGGGGGGAAGCCAGATTCACTTAAGGACGTCCCAATTCACTTAACAACGGCAGGGGTGGCGAAAAAAGGTCACAAAATGGGGCAAAACTCATTTAGCAACTGCCTTGCCGAGCGAGGGAAATTTTGAGCTCCGTTGTGGTCGTAAATTGAGGACTTCCTGGGATGGCTCTTTTTCATTCCTCTCTAATTTCGAAATTTAAAAGGCACATTTTGTGTGTGGCACACATTTGACTTTTTCCTGCCATTCAACTAGGAACTAATCATCATTAATCCACAGCTAGACATATCTATTTTTTTTCCCAGGATCACCACGACATGCTGTTGGAAATTGAGCGGGACAAAGCCATTACCGACAAGGTGATCCTTATTCAGAAAGTGGTTCGCGGATTTAAAGACAGGTACCTGGGAAAGCCGGCTAATATTTCTTGGTGTGAAACGTAACCTGGGAATTGTTAGTTGTGACCGTGGTCGGGAAGGTTTTCTGTTTCCAAGGAAACCTTGCATGGTTTCCTTTCTTCTGTGTGTCATGGAT